CCTGCAGGGTGGGCTGGTAGGAACATTGGAATTTTTTTTTACACCCAACAGCACGAGATTTCACTTCGTTAAAGTATTGAAAGGGGACGGACGGACACATTAATCTATTGCAGGCTGGTACACTCAGTTTACAACTTCGTTACTACCAGTATGAACTCACGTATAAGATTTTTTTTAAATCTTTCCATTTTTTTGGGGTTATTTCCAGGAGTTTCACAACTCTTGTGGAATAAAAAAAAACCCACCCAAATTGCCCGTTCAATAATTATAAACATCGTTCATTAGTATTTTAATAAAATAAAAAAATTACGAGATTATAGTTTACAGTTCCGAACATCATTTAGACTTAAATTTTGATTTAAAGCTTTCGTGACTGCAGGGATTCATATTCTTGGTTCTTTTGGTAAAGTCACGTAGAAGGGAAACAAAATAATAAAAATATAAAACTATAAAATTCTCTCTCTTCTTGCTGTGGTTTTCACACCTGATGATGATTGCTTGTGTTGCAGTCGAAACGTCGTGATAATTTTATTGTTTTATATTTTTATGATTTTATTGTTTCCCTTCTACGTGACTTTACCGAAAGAACCAAGAATATCATTTAGACTGTTATTTAAAAAAAAATGAATCGAAATATATTTCACCCTGAACAGCCCTCGAGGAGATGACTTCTCATTTGCAATTCACGTGTCCCAGACTCGCAGCCCCAAGTTTCCCAATCTCATCAAACAATTCCTAATTTGCATAACCCCCCACCCCCCACTCCCACCACCACTCCCGCCCCTCCTCGCTCGATATGGCAGAGATCCTCTGTGCGTGTCACCTTGAGCCAGCAACAATCCCAAAATAACACGGGCTCCGTGCTCCCTGCGGCAGTGGGGAGCGACGTGGCACAGCGCTAAAGAGTTCGCCGCTCGTCGCACAAGTTCATGGTTCGATTTTCCAGCGGCAATCCTCATGAATAGTGCGCCCCGGGGGAGAGATGTTAACGCCCTCGCCTGGTATACGGGAGTTCGTAGAGTTCGATCCCGACCCTGACGTCTGTTGCATATTTGGAGTTCGCGGTGTCTCTCCCACGTGGTCGCGTGGATTTTTGTCCGGGTTTTACCCTCCATAATTTGGAAAACGTGCGTTTAGTGTATTTTTGTTGCTGTAAATTTCGACACGACAAGCCACTTTTTGAGCTATCATTTGTGGCCAGGTCGCTTCTGAAATAAGAGCTCTGTGGCTCAATGGGGAGCGGTAGTGGAGCGCTACGAACCGGGCGACCCGAGTACAATTCCCCCTCACGGCCAACATCAGTGACGATTATCTGATGTAGTCCTGGGCCTCCCTTAGGTCGACTCAGTCTCAAATGAGTACCTGGCGTGGTGCGTAAAAACATCGCCACTAGGGAGACAAAGGCGGATGGAGGTGGTGCTGGCCACCCACACCCTCGTGTGCCGTTCCCGTCTTCATAGGTGCTCGCTAACACCACTTGCCCAAACAGTCTGTTAAGACTATAAGGGGCATCTTTGTTGTTTCTAGATTTGAAGCTTTCGTGACTGCAAGGATTCATACTTTTTGTTTTTTTCGGTAAAGTCACGTTAATTTAGTTGTTTTCTTTTATTTTTATTTACCTACGTGACTTTACCGAAAAAACCAAAGAGTATGGATCTTTGTTAGTTTAAAATATTGCGGCGTGTTAACCGTAAACATATACTACAGTGGATTATTGATGGTCCCGTTACATCATTCGGAATAGGATGCCATCATTGTGTTTGCCGGCCGTCATGGGCCTAATAAAATAAATGGGAATATTACCCGAAAATTACTCAATTGAGCAGCAATCATCGCCAAAAACTTGGCAGGATCCTCCTGAAAAAAGCGCCAGTGAGGGAGAGATGGAGTGAGATTGGGAGATAGTGAGAAAGTGATTTGAAGAGATTTGAATGGATGGAGCTAGGGAAATGGATGTGGAGTGAGAGGTGAAGTGAGAGAGATGGAGGGAGGCAGAGAGGGTGCTGGAGACAGTGGGAGGGAGGGCCGCGAGGGTTTGAGTCCAGGGTCAGGTGGCATGGGGCTCTGTTTAGAGCAGGGGGCTCCAGATTGAGAGACTTTTCTGAGAATCGCTGGCACGGATAACTCACTGTGCCATGACGCCTCTCACGCACACCCACACCACTCTTGCCCAGACCACTATCTCACCCTCACACCACTCTTACCACTCCCACACCATTCTCACCACTCTCACACCACTCTCACTTACACCGCTCTCACACCACTTTCACACGTATTAACACTGTTTTATACACACATATCTCTAATCACAGACCCCCCCCTCCCCCCGTATAGCCTGTATGTTTTGGCAACTGCTGTTAGCATGCACCTATTAAATCTGGCACGGCCAATGCCACGCCTGGCTGCCTTTGTCTCCCCAATGCTAATGTGTCAATAATAGACACCGCATCAGAAACTCATTTAAGGCTAAGACGGCCAAACATTCACACACCTTGTTTTACAACACAAAGAGAACTCGTAGAGATTTCAACAGAATGTTGGGGCAAGTGCTGTTAACGAGCACCTGAAGGCTGACACAGTACGCACCTCTTATCACACATACACACACTTACCGAATTCTAAGACGCAAGTCCCACATTTTACATACAGGGTAGACGTGCGTCTTATAATCCGGAGAATACTGAAATAAGACTTCGACGAATTCCAGTTGGGCTTAAAAATAGACAAAGATCCTCCGTATAGCCTGAACAGACTTAGGGGCAAGTGCTCACGGTCAACACGAGTGACGATTATCTGAATCGGTCCTGGGCCTCCCCTAGGTCGACTCAGCTTCACATAAGTACCTGGTGCGATGTGCAAACACTGCGACGAGGGAGACAAAGGCGGCCGCGCATGGTGCTGGCCACCCACTCCCCAGTGTGGCGTGCCAGTCTTTATAGGTGCTACTGCTCGCTTAAAAATAGACACATGCGTACAATCTCAAAATATATCCACAGCCCATCTGTGCGAAGTCGCCCCGTGCAGCAATTTTATCTAATCCAAGGGACAGACTGTGCCCCGGTGTTCCTCCCTCTAAGAATAGCACGGGTGTGACCGTGCATCGGGGTTAATCGATTGAGATTGATTCTCACAACCAGGGACGGCCACAGTGGGACGTTTTACATCGGAAACTAACGTTGAAGCGATTCGCCATACCCGCGGCACAGCTCTGCTCACAAAGCCCACTTTTATAGGTGCAAGAGTCACGGGAGTGATTTCTTGCTCAAGCGAGCCTTGAGGCGGTGACCATTTGCTGTGTTTTGTCTCATTCAAAAGATAGGAAAATTAGGGGATTGGGAAAGGTCGAGATAACACTTCTAGAACCCTCCCTCCACTGCCTCTGATTAGAATGGCGACAATTTTCGGTGTTTTTTTGGGGGGGGGGCGGGGGGTATGGGTCAAAGGTCACACGTGTCGTACATTGGTTACGCAGCACAGTATTCGATACCGTACGGAACCAGGGGTTTGTGGGCCAAACCATGAATGCAGCCACACCCGAGTTCAATTTACGGCCACGGCCCAACATCACCAGCTACAAATGTCTTAAGATTCCCAACCGGCGTAGTGAAGTCTGCTCACTACGCTCAACCGGTATGGAGCTGCAGTCCCCCTCGGCGGTCTGGAACGGTCTCTCTCAACTTAAGTCCGTGGTCAGCCGTAACAATCGGTGATTTTAAGACAGGACTGAAAATATTTATCTTCTCGTCTGCTTCTCCTGTTTAGTTTTATTTTCATCAGTGCCATCCATAGTTCAATCTCAGCTTTTGTTTAATAAATACGGTGCTTTACAAACCTTGCATCACCTAAAACAATGCCCCATAAGCGACAGAGTAAGGTGGTTATGATAAAAAGCTGTAATTGTCTGGACCAGAGATTTCAATTCCAGCACTCGCGACCCACAACCCTACATCTTATGCGCACACAGCGAGACCTCAATCTTAAATAAAATAGGCTTACTCAAAAACCGATTGAAATTAAGATTTGAGATTTCAGTGCGTGTATGTACGCGTGATATGCACAGCGTTCATTGACGAACGTCACGTGGGACACGTTTACCAATCAGGCGCGTGCAGTGTTGAACGACTCGGTTTGTAATTGAATGGTGTTACAATGGTAAGTGCAGAAAGAAGTAGCATGAATTGCGAGGACTGGAGTTTGGCAAATCCTGGCCTAGACTAAAATACTTGTGTACAGCACACAGCAGATCTGTGGATTTGATTCTCGTTGATTAATTTAACCACGGGTGCCTAAAAAGTGGATTCGAAAACCATGTTGTCAGCGACGCTGGTGCATGGCTCTAACCATTGCCATCATGAACACCCCCCCCCCCCGTACCACCTGGTCACTTAGAAATTTCCATCTCCTAAGCAAACACATACTGCTTTTAGACATGATTTCCACAACACCAGCCCCCACCTCCACATCTATCCTCGCCAGCCATCCCGTGTCTGCCTGCCAACATCTCCTATCTGGGTCTCCCTCTCTCTGGGGCAAAGGGGACTGGGCCGAAGGTTCTGGGTCCAAGGACGGGATGGGTCTCTGCCCAGTGTCTGGAAATGGCAGGGCTTGGGGTACACAAAGCTCGTGCGCGTGGATTGGAATATTAAAACGTTGCGCCAAGGTCACATTAGACTCATGATCGTCATAATCATCGTCGTGCTTAATCATTGGCGTGGCGTCACCATGATAGTCATCATCTTGAATTGAATCGTCAATTATCATCTTGTATCATGGTCATCAACATCATCATTTCTCGCACCTCCGATTAGCACGTTTGGCTACGTACAGTGCGAAATAAGTTCCACATGGATACATCAATGATTTTGAGCTACGTAAATAATCTCTGCCAAACTCGATAAAAACCCGTGTCAAATGTACGACCTCCGACCGTCAAACTCGACTCCTCCCATGTCAAGCGTGCGAGCGTCGCATTGTGAACGAAAGCACGCGTCTAAACAACATTTCCCGGAAAAAGCAATCGGCTACGCCAATTTTTTTTATTTGCGTTAAAATTAAAAACCGTACAAAATCTGAGCATTCTGAACTGTGCACCCTCGCTGCATTTTAATATTTTACCGTTGCACATTAGCGAGCGTTCGCGACGCTCGTTTTTTCGTACAATATTGCACGTTTCGCAAGTAAATGGCAATAATTTATTTTTTTAAATGTCTCTTAGACAATTCAAACTTTACGTTATTTGCTCCATTAAGTTACGGTAGCAGCAGACCTCTGGACTGGCAGAGGATCGTCAGGTCAGTGGGTCAGGGAACTGTCCCGGAAGACGAAACCACACTTCCATAATAACAACTTGCAACGCGCAATGATTTCACAAACCGACCAAGGTCCGAGCGCTACTCGGAGGCGTCTGGCCTTCAAAAGGCCTCTCTCCTACCCAACGCTCGCACGGTGCTTCATTCGCACTGCACAGTGGGGGATGGGGGGGGGGTTCCCCGCATGTCAGTCAACAACAACAAAAAAATCAACACAGTTCAGTCCTGGGCCTTGGTAGAGCGGCTGAATCAAGGGGGCAATGCAACTAAAAAAAAAGCAACGACTTATCTCGGTACATATCTACAAGAGCTCTTATCTCAGTACACATCTAATAGGGATGTTCATCTCTTTGGGTCGTGGCTTTTAGAGAAAGAACTTATTATAATTGTATTTAAAATTCTATTTTGTACAGCTGTTGGGTCACTGGGCTGAGACATCAAATGCGTGACACCCGAGAACCTGGTTTCACCCGCAGTTGGGCTGCTAAAACCCATATTTGTAACCAAGGTCTCGGTGGTTCTGAGCTGTGTCTCCGACATGGCCATTATGAACCCCTTGTGAGAGAGCGCAAAGACAACAAACCACTAGGGCCTGAGCCCAGGATCTCATCGGTGCTGGTTCACTGCCACTGCCATTGTGGACCATCTAAAACTTCCCGCCACCTCTTGTTTACCGACACATTCTACAGCAGGGTCCTGCTTATTTGAACATCATTTGAACATAAAGACACTTTGAGAACACTGTCTGCAGGAGTCCGGGAGGGAGGGTTCGGATGGAGGGATGGGAAGGGAGGGAGTTCACGTGCACAGGGCCATTGCTTCGTTGCCGAACAGCTCCACGAAATGCTGCACGTACTCCTCACAGTGTTCGCCTGCACACAGGGTGTGGGGGTGGGGGAGCACAGGGGTTTGTACACACCAGCGCACACAGCTAAGAATGTACAACTAAAAAGACAAATATCCCGTTTAGCTGACAGATTGTTGGGGTAAATGCTGTTATTGAGAACTAATTACAGCCAGCACTGCACAGGAGGTGGTGGCAGGTCCAGCGTCCTTTTTTTCTCAAGTACCGATGTTTACAAACCACGCCAGGCACTTGTTCATGGTTGAATCGACCTAGGTGAGGCCCAGGACTGGTTCAGATATTCATCACTGACGTTGGCCGCGAGTGAGAATCGAACGTGGGTCGCCAGGTTCATAGTGCAGCGCGCAAACCACTGCGCTTCCCACACAAGACACCCCGTATAACCTTAACAGACGGTTGGGGGCAAGTGGTGTTAGCCAGCTTTTATAAAGGCCGGCACGGTACATGAGGGGGTAGGTGGCCAGCACCACGCCCGACCGGCTTTGTCTCCCCAGTGGGGGAAGTCACATACCACACCAGGTACTCATTTGAGACTGAGTCGACCTAGGGGAGGCCTAGGACCAGTTCAGATATTTGTCACCGGTGTTGGTCGAGAACGGGAATCGCTGGGTTTGTAGCGCAGTGCGCTAACCGCTACAATACCGCTCCCCACACTCACAAACACACACATGCATACATACATATACATAAAAACAAGCCCACACTGATACACGCACATTTACAGACACGCGCACACACTGATACTCTTCTATATACGGTACATACCACACTCATACGAAGTGACATTCCATACATAGATACACACATACAAAATTAAGACACAGGATGTTGTGATGCAGACACACAGACATTCAAATTTGGAACACCCCGCCTACCACCGGACATCCGAAAAGCACCGAACGTCTCTCAATTCCATGGTTTGTGCAAGCCAAACCTATTCAGACTTGACTTTACATAACGTCAACATTTTAAAAGTCAAAACCGGCTCTTTACTTGTCATTTACTTTTATCTACTAAATACACTTCTTCTGCGATTCGTTGCGCACGGCAGCACTATATTTCGCGCTCGCTCGCCATTTACTTTGTTCAGTCGGTGTTAGCTGGTGATGGGTGGCGTGACAAGTTTCTCTTTTCTCATTCCTGTTGCCCCATGCCCCCCCCCTTCCCCCACCGTACCGCTCCCATTCCGCTGCGACGCGCACCGCTGCCTACTTAACCGAGGGCGATATCGTAACGTAAACTAAATGAAAAATCGATTGCTCAATTGATCCATCAATGCACGCCCCCCCCCACCCCCCGCATAGGGCACCGGGGCTGAAGCGAGGGTTTCCGCGCAGGCGCGCGTTGCGCTGCTGAAAGAAGCGGAAGACGGTGAAGAAGAGCGCCCCGTCCTCCGTTGCACGCGCCGCCTCCAGGAACTTGCGCGCAGACGCGCTGTCCTGGCTGCCCGCAGCGCGGACGAAGCGCACGGCGCCCAGCACCTGCTGCCGCGACAGCAGCACCTCCACGATCTCGTCGTTCGCAGTCCCCAGCCGCTAACCAATGGGGGGGGGGGTGATGAAGGGTGGAGGCGAGGGTGGCGCAGAAGGCAAGGGGTCGGCAATGGAGGAGGGTCGTTAGCTTCATTATCGCTGTAGTTATCATTTACCGTCGTTGTCATGGTTGTCACCGTTATCTCAGTTGCTGCCGTTATCATTTCACCACCTTCGTCGTGAATGTAATTAGTGTCATCGTTATCCGATTTGTAGTCATGATCGTCCTGGCTGTTATTAGTGTCACCGTCTTACGTGGTTTCGATCCCGACCGCCGACGCCTGCTGTATGTATTTGGAGTATGCGGTGTCTCTCTCCCCGTAGTCTTGTGGAATTTTCTCCGGATGCTCCAGTTTTTTCCCTCCACATTTAGAATCAACATCACGCATTTAGAGCATTAGGCTCCATTAAATTTCCACGAGATAAGCCACTTCGTTGACCTATCATTTGTGATAGCCATGTCACTTCTGAAAAAAAAATCTACGTAGCTCAGTGGGCCTTACCTTGTAAAATAAAATAACAAAATAATAGTATAGAACATTTACAAAACAAATGAAGAGACAACGGACCTTGCCCTCAGCTCAAAGCCATTATCTCAGTGGCGCTGGCTTAGTGTTACCAACAGAGCAATTATGAAAGCTAAACAGTGAGCGAGGCATCCAGACCCCCCCCCCCCCCCCTCCCCCGTAAACTTTCCACGCATTGTGCGTATGCGTGTTATTCATGTGTATGTATTTACGTATGTTTATTGGAGGTGCGGCATTGCCGCTCCACTGAGCTCAGCTCGACAGACCGATTAAGCTTTGTCCCCCCTCTATGCTTTCACAAACGCGACGCTGTGTTGGTAAACATGTGTCGTCTTACACACTGGCGTTTGGCTGCCACGGAACTTGGCATACAACTAAGCTGGGTCTCGCGACCGGTGTCGCAAACCAGCATCGTTTAAACTTTCGGGTCGAGGCCATAAATCTCCCGTGCAATCGTCGGGAGTGAACATCTGTTGCGCATTTTGAAAATAACAGAAATGTTTCAACGTTTAGCTTTTTTTTCCCGGAAAGCCTCGCCGAGTTGCGAAGTCCTGTGTTCAGTAGAGTCCGCCATGGGGATGTTTGGCCGAGTTAATTTTTAAAGAATGGTTTTGCTTGTCCGAGCAAACCAAAGTTGTTTTGATATCTTCCGCAAAGCTGTTGTTTTGCTCCGGTTTCTGTTTGCTTCACTGCAGTAATTTATTGCTTTCATAATTTTTGGCGACTCGGGTCACTCGTGCAAGTGAGACTTTATCCTGGTCTCTTGAGTGCTTTCGCCTGGTCAAACAAATACCATTGAAAATTGAACAATCAAAGTTTCATCCCGAAAGATTGCATAATCCACTGCTGTCCTGCCATCCTGTCGCCACATCGCAGCCAATGCCTACAACCAACCTGCTATTCCCAGGCAGTCTCCTCATACATATACTAACCAGGCCAGGCTCTGCTTAGCTTCCAGGATATGATGCGAGTGCATTCTGGGTGATTTCGTTTTAAGTTGATGAGGAAGTCAATAGTAACGCCTTTTAAGAGGCTGCTGCATCACTTGAAGGGATCTCAGAGGTAGCGCTGTGATATCCGCTTCCACGAGCCATTCTCTGATGCAAAGGGTCACCACTGCCCGGGCAAGAGATTCGAACGGTTTCGTCATCTCGCGACACAATAATATCAACGTAACGTTTCGTGTTACACAAAGCGTCATCGCTCGTGCAAATTGCAGCTCTTACAAACCACAGACAAGCTTGGACGGCAGTCGCCAGGATGCGAGGAGCCAGCGCTACCAACAACTGCCCGAGCTCTGTGGTCCTCTGTAACTTAAGCTGTGTTCAGCCAATTACTCAGTATTTATTACACGACGCCAATAGCACAATAAGGGCATCAAAGTTTTATTTCTAAAAAGAGTTCTGCTCTGCAGGTGAATGAGAAACCGGCTTACTGTTACTGCCATCCCCCTGGCCAACTCGCATTTAACGAGGCTTGGCAGGGTCACAGCGCGCAAGGGTGATGTCTCTCCGAGACCAGTCACACTTATGAGGTACCAACGATATGGTGATGGAGATAATAAGCGGTGGCACAGTGGTTAGCCATGTGGGGAGGGCGGCGCTATGTCTCTCCAAATAAAATCAACGCTGAACCGCTTGCACATTTCCTGAGATTCAGCGGTGAACGGGACACGCACCCTGCAACTTGCAGACATCTTGAAACGGGAAATGGTTAAGAGGAACAGCGCAGAAAACGAAACGGTGACTTCTATGTGTCAGTGATTTGATACCTTGAGCATGTCCAGGGCCAGCTGATGAGCAGGTGGATAGATGCTCTCCAAGGAGAGCATTAAGCAGGCCTGCAAGTGCAAAAACAAAGAGCCCCCCCATATAGCCATTAGCGGACTGTTGAGACAAGTGCTGTTCGCGAGCAGTACCTATGAAGGCCGGCACGGTACACGAGGGGGTGGGTGCTCAGCACCACGCCGAGCTGCCAGACGCACGTATATATACACACACACAAACACGTATACGCACGCACAAACCAATGACAAATATTCCCCCATGTAGTCTGCAAAGGCTGTTGGGGAGAGTGCTCTTAGCGAGCACCTCTAAAGGTCAGCATGGTGCACGAGGGTGTGGTGTGGCCAGGACTACGCCTGGGCGCCTGTGTCTCCCCAGCACTCATGTTTTACACCGCACCAGGTTCTCATTTGAGGCCGAGTCAGCCCAGGACCGGTGCAGATATTCGCCACCGATTTTGGCCATGGCCGATATTCGAACTCGCGCTGCCGAGTTCGTGGCGCATTGGGCTAACCTCTGCGCCACCGCTCCACGCACACACAGGGCACATCTACTCACACGAACACAATAAAGCTAAAGGTCCCCCCCCACCCTCATAGGCATACATAGGCTGTCTGGGAAAATTGGCTTTAGGTTGCTTGGCTGCACACTGTCATTGCATCTCCTGCTGTGCACGCCTGGCTGCCTTCGCCCCCCTCAGTGCCGCCGATACTCGTCGTGGCACATCCGAAAGCGGCGACCCCGCGGGTTAATCGTGGCGCGCGTCTACCTCCCTGCCCCCAACGGGTTACTCACCAGTGGCTTTGAGTCGCTGAGCACGTGGTACTGCAGCAGCTGGTGCAGCTGGTAGAAGCGGTTGTTCTGCACCAGCGTGTTGATCACGAGCTCGTACAGGTAGTGCTGGCAGCGGCGGCAACAACAACAATGACCGCGTGGGTATCTGACTCCGTCCGTCCAGTGCTCGCCAAGCTGTACGGCTTCCGATTGCCGAATTAATACATTGTAATGAAGACGCACCTTATTGCTAACAAAGTGTTTGCCACAAATACACCACAATATCTAGCTAATCTCGTCAAGGAGCATAAACTATCAAGCGAACTCTGGTCATCCTCGCAGCGGCTTTTCACTAGCCATTGAACAAAGACGGTCACCGCATCGCGCGCTTTCAGATGCGCTTCTACGGCTGTCTGGAACGTTCTTATTTCCGATATTAGGAAGCCACTGGCGGTAACGCATTTTTTTTATCTGGATTGAAAACGAATTTCTTTAGAACTGCTTTATGTATTTCGTTTGTTGTCCTTCCCCTGCACCTTAAGATTTAGCGCGGTTGGCTATGTATGGTGAAGTTCAACATGCTTACAGGAGAATGCCTTCCTGGGAGTAGGTGATGCCCGGGTTAATTATGACTTGGCTCGTCAGATATACAGTCTGATGTACACACGGCACCGCTGTGACCCGGGGGTTGGATGGCATAGTGGTCCAGTTGCTTTTTTTCCGATTTACATTTACTTAGCTTGCTGCGATTTTTGGTGACCCAGGTAAACTCCTGCAAGTGAGACGCGTCCTGCTCCCTCGAGTCCAAAAAGCTGGTTTCAACAAACTAAACTTGACCCGAGTGCTCGACTCACAATCAAAAAGTGCATGAGTTCAAAGCCCATTTGTGGGCCAACTCAGCCCATCATCGCCATCATCATCATCACCATCACCATCCTTGCAGGGTTCATAAAAATTAGTAAAGCATCTCGGCGAATAAATGCTACAAATACGTCAACAACTATTGCTTGGGATTAAACGGAAGAAATTTAAGTCGGCGTTACGTGGACTGGCCCTCTTTCTTAAAGGCACTTTTTGTCCCTTGTCCCCTAGCCACCTACGCAGAGGCTGGGCCAGTGAGCCAATCGGCGTAAACAAACAAAACGACAACTCCGGCGGCGACGCCGTTAAATTCAGTTCCTGAAGAAGCTCCCAACAGCACGTGGAGCGAAACGTCGGACGCCGTGCCAAAGAACGCGCGCCGCGCCGGGCCTTGTAAAACACGTGGCAAGAAGCTGGGTGCGGCCGTCGGGAACGCAGCCCCGTGGCGCCACCTTGTGAGTGCCGGGCCTCACAGCGGCCTCCCGTGAAACAGGGGGAGCACACATGGAAGCGCTCGTCCACCCCCCCCACCCCCCCTTGTTTATCCACAGCTCTGAACCAGTTCTGGCAATTCCACATTCCTATGGTGGGGACAAGTCTATCAATAGGACACGTCAAATATTAACTCGCCACAAAGCAGTACTTAACGACTCAACCCCCCCCAAAGGGAAGATGATAAGCGGAGATGATACCTGACAGATTGAACTTGCAAATTTCTGATTGCTTGTCCAGCTCTCCGACTACTGTAACTATCCTCCACCTGCATGAAAAGCTGAACACTCACCTACGCACTGGGGGGGGTGAAGCAGGGTTGAGACTCACCTGCACGGTTATCTGTGCTTGGTTGAGTGAGCGGATATACTCCATGAGCACCGCGACGATGAACTTGTACGAGATTTCCTGCCACACGAAGAAAAAAACACACAGCCGTTATGAACCCCACCGGTGTATACAAGAGGTCCAAGGGCTACAACCTGAGACTTCAGTTGCACTTGGGCTCTGGCATGGACATTATGAGCCCCTAAATAGGGCACGGTGAGACACCCAGAATCAGGGATTTAACCGAGGCCCCCCGCAAGGCTAGCTCAGTGTCGCTGGCACGGCCATTATGAAACCTTAATTTGACAAGAGGGAGATGTCCAGACCCAGATCTCAGCAATGCTGGCCAAGTGTAATTGCCATTTCCATTTAATACAAACCCCCTGATAATTTAAACCCCAGGCTCAGTATATGCTCCAACAATCTCATTTGTATTGGTGCAATGCCTCCAACACAACCATAATTAACCTCTTCAGAAGACAAAATTCTGTTTCAGAAGTCAAACCCAACATCTCATCAGTGGTGCCTCAATACCTGCCATGGACATTATGAAACCCCTAATACAGTTATATATGAAGCCTCAAGGTCATGTGGGTTGAAGCCATAAATCTTAGCATTTCGGCCTCAGTGTCTCCGATAGAGCCAATAAAAATGTGGATTCACGCAGCATCTAAGCGGCCACATCTCCAGACACTGTGCAGAAACGGTCCGTATGTTATTTGTTGGGAGAGACAGGTCTAGGCAGAGTAAAAAAAAAGATCTTGGAAGTCCGGATATGAACAGGGGGCGGGGAGTCAACAGCATGGATGGCTGGGGGAAGGAAGTTCCAGACCATGTGGCCACCATGGGACAGTATGAACCCAATCGGACAAACGCTCAAACCCTTGAGACACACAGCCCTGGTGCTGGCTGTCTCCGACACAGCAGTTGTGAACCCCTTGTGAGTGAGACAGGCAGCCTCGCGTCTCTCAGACATGGAGCCTTGGTGCTGGTGCTGCGCCGTACCCGCTTCTCCGTGAAGGCTGACAGCACGTGCGTGTACATGGTGGACTGGTCGATGACCGACTGCTTCTGCTGGTGCCGGCTCAGTTGAGAGGAGCCTTTGTACTGGCCAGACTCCACAGCCTGCACACACAAACATCAAAGGATGCCATTCGCCACCAAGCAGCAGTGACGCCACCACAGTACTTGCGCCAGGCTAGGTGCACTTTGAGGCTATCACGTGGAGTGTGGAAGACTCGCTGCCGGCAGGTCACGGGAAAGACCCAGGTGCGTTAATGAGTTAACTGAAAGGCGACTGCCAATTGTGTCTCTGTGCTCCGCACTGTGCTAACTTAGCACCCTCTATTGGGCAAAGTAGAAGCTGTGGGGATGCCGTGGCTTTGTGTGTGTGTGGGGAGTGGTAATGTAGGGGCTGGCATGCTGCGCTACGAACCCGGTCACACAAATTCGATTCCCATTCACGGCCACCACACCCACCCTTTTCTGTGCCATGCCATCTTGTGTGTTAGCTCACGCGACTTTCCCCAAACAGTCTGTTAAGGCTATATGGGGGATATTTGTATGTATGTGGTGTTATTGGTGATGATGGTAGGTATGATTGTGTTTATGGTGACCCGGGTGGTGATGATGGTGGTGGTGATGGTGGTGATGATGGTGGTGATACTGGTGGTGGTATTGGTGGTGATGATGATGGTGGTAATGGTACTGGTGGTGATGATGATGGTGGTACTGGTGGTGGTATTGGTGGTGATGATGATGGTGGTAATGGTGGTGATGATGATGGTGGTAATGGTGGTGGTATTGGTGGTGATGATGATGGTGGTAATGGTGGTGGTACTTGTGGTGATGATGGTGGTGGTACTGGTGGTGGTATTGGTGGTGATGGTGGTACTGGTGGTGGTATTGGTGGTGATGATGGTGGTACTGGTGGTGATGATGGTGGTGATGATGGTGGTGGTACTGGTGGTGGTACTGGTGGTGATGATGGTGATGATGGTGGTGATGATGGTGGGACTGGTGGTGATGATGGTGATGATGGTGGTGATGATGGTGGTGATGATGGTGGTGGTACTGGTGGTGGTACTGGTGGTGATGATGGTGATGATGGTGGTGATGATGGTGGTACTGGTGGTGATGATGGTGATGATGGTGGTGATGATGGTGGTACTGGTGGTGATGGTGGTACTGGTGGTGATGGTGGTGGTGGTGATGATGGTGGTACTGGTGGTGATACTGGTGGTGATGATGCTGCTGCGGTGGGATGCCTGCTGGTAGGCGAGCTCTGCGCTGAGCCATTCGTGGTAAACCTGGTTGAGTTTGTCAAACACGGCGGCCACAGTGGGCAGACTCTCCTGCCGCGCCGCGTACAGCACTGCACACGCAGTTCACGCACACACAGAACAGACACGCACACGGTGACAAAGATCACCCGTATAGCCGCAACAGACTTTTGGGGCAAGTGTTGTTAGCGAGTAACACTTATGAAGGCCGGCGATATTTTTACGCACCGCATCAGGTACTAATTTTAAGTCGAACTCGGGGAGGGGCCCAGGACTGGTTCAGATAATCGTCACTGGTGTTAGCTGTGAGCAGGAATCGAACCTGGGTCACGAGGTTCGTAGTGCAGTGTGCCAACTGCGATAATACTGCTCCCCACGATGCACACACAGTATATACACACATAAGTGGTACACACACACCCATGTCTCTCAGACCATGCTTATCCATGCCCCCATTTCCTGTGCATCTCTGTGTATTCCCGTATTCCTCATGTGTCCTCATATCCCCTGTGTCTTCTGTATCTCCATGTCTCCCATTTCCCCGTCTACCCATTTCCATATGCCTCCCCCGTATCACCATCTCGCCGTGTCCCTGTGTCTCTGTGTCCCATCTTGTCTTGTTGCCCCGTGCGTGTCCTCCACGTGTCCCCCACACGTCCTCCGCATGTCCCCGTCCCCCCTCTTCCCCCCCATGTCCCCTGCTTGTCCCCCCGCTTTTCCCCAACTTGTCCCCCGCGTGTACCCCGCGTGTACCCATCCCCCGCATGTCCCCCACATTCCCCCCGAGTGTTCCCTCCGGGTGTTCCCCCCCCGCCTCCCGGTGTCCCACCACGTGTCCCGCCCTGCGTGTCCCCCGCGTATTCCCCATGTGACCCCCCGCAAGTCCCATCCCCCACGTTGTCCCCCCCGTGTCCCCCACGTTGTCCCCCCCGTGTCCCCCACGTGTCCCCCACGTGTCCCCCACGTGTCCCCCACGTGTCCCCCACGTGTCCCCCGGGTGTCCCCCACGTGTCCCCCACGTGTCCCCCACGTGTCCCCCACGTGTCCCCCACGTGTCCCCCACGTGTCCCCCGGGTGCGCGCGTACACTGGCGGCACACGGTGAGCATGACGGAGCGGCACTCGCGTCGCTGCAGCAGAAACTCCATGAGACGCGAGCGGTCGGAGAACGCGTCGAGCACGGGCTCCAGGCACAGCTGCAGCGTGCACAGGCAGCCTGCGCAACGTACACACCATGCACACAATTCGTACGACGCACACACCATGCACACAATTCGTACAACGCACACACACGCACACAATTCGTACAACACACACGCACAGACAGCCTGCGCAATCGACACAACCTATACAGATAAGGGCAACGGACTAATTTCGGGCTGAGTGGACCCAGGGGAGGCCCGCTGGGGCCACTCACCGAGTTTGGCATCAATGATGATGTTGGGCTGGAACACAATCCAGCTGGAAGAGTCTGGGCAGAAGGTCAAGGGTTAACCCGGGGAGACGCACACCATGGATGGTGGCGGCGGTGCTGATAGCGGCTGTGGTGGTGGTGATAATGCTGGTCGCGGCTGTGGTTGTGGTGGTGATGATAAGAGGTCACGGTGGTGGTGATGGTGATGATAGAGGTCATGGTGGAGATGGCAGTAGTGATCTGGTGATGTCAGCAGTGGTGATGTCAGTGACATTAGTGATGTGGTGGTTTTAGCGGTGGTGATGCGGCAGTGTTGGCGATGTTAATTTGGCAGTGGTGGTGATGTGGTGGTGTTAGCGGTGCTGATGCGGCGGTGTTGGCGGTGATGTGGTGGAGTTAGCTGTGGGGATGTAGTGGTGATGCGGCTGTGTTAGCGGTGGTGATGCGCCGGTGTAGGTAGTGGTGATGCGGCGGTGTTGGCGGTGCTGATGTGAGAGCCAATGCTGCTCCTGCGGTGCCGCGTCAAGGATACACAGCTCAAACGGGACCGGTGCGGGCGCCAGTGCTGCCGTGGGACCTGGGAGTCGGAAACAAAAATAAAAAATCAAACGTCCTCCCCCGATCCACAGCTCATGTATGCGAGTCTGAGCGAGCCAGAGCGACGAGCGTATTGGCTTACGTATGAACAAGTGCGTGAGCGGGCGAGCAAGAGAATGATCGTGCTAGTTCATGGGCGGGAGCATCAGCAACGAGCGTGAGTGAACACGTGCGAGTGTCACTTGGCGAGTCAGCGTTACGAGAGTCTCAGTGAGCGAGTCGGTGTGCGAGAGTTGGCGTGCAACGGTGCAAGTGAGCAAGCGAGCGAGGTTCCGAGCGAGCGAGCGAGCTAGCGAGGAGGTGTGCGCCCACTAGCGTGTACAATCACACATGCGAGTGCACGTGATCGTGTGTGCAAGTGAGTTGCTGCTGTGCAATGCAAGTGCACGTGTGCACGCGTACGTGCGTATGCCGGGCATGGTGTTGGCCACCCACCCCCTCATGTGTCGTGCTCACTTACACCGCTTGGCCCCAACAGCATGCACTTGCGTATGTACGAGCATGTGTGAGTGTGTACATGTGAGTGCATGTGTGTGTGTGCAGACCGATGCCACGTGTGTGCATGCGTATTCATGCATTTGCGTGAGTGTATGTTTATATGTACGTTGAACTTCTTTCGCACCATACGTAGCCAACAATGTGAATCGGAGGTGTGTGTGCGTGCGTGTGCAGACCGGCGCGACTCTGCAGGGCATAGGGGCGGATGGATGCCGGCGGCAGCACCGGGTAGTGAATGTTGACGTGGCCGTCAAACTCCTTCCCCATCCGGATGTCGAAAACCAAGGACGTCTGAAACCAACAAATAAAGAATTCACGGTACCTGCATCTGTGCAAGCCTGGGTCGCCGAGGTAGTTAACATCTTGCCACCTTGGCGAGGCCAGGAGGGAGGTGATCGTGATTTATAGGCAGAGAGCGGTGGGAATGTGGAACCGGCTGTTCACGCAACACGTGGTAATGGTAGGAGCAGATTCACTGGGACTCGTCAAGAAATCCCTCCATGAGGTCCTAGAATCGATCTCCTACCAACAACGAAATGAGCCAGATGGACTGAACGCCCCCCTCCTTTCTGATGTCTCTATGGCAAGTTATAGATTGATAGATTGAAAGGACATATATAGACTCTTTTAGACGGATGGATATGAATAAAGATACAGAGTGTGATGGGTTGATCTATAATCTGACAGATAGATGACTAGGCAGCTGGATAGCTACACCAACAGACAAATAAATAGAAATACTGATTGAAGGATAACTGAATAGTTTGCTATACAGCGAGAACGACTGATACGTGAGAATGACCGAAAGCTGCGTAGACCGATGGACAGATAAATCGAAGCATCCAAATTGCGCATCCACCTTGGAGATCTGGTGGTGGGACTATGCAAAGGTTGTCCAACACGACAGACAGACACTTATGATGTATGGAGAATGAACAAACAACAGATTTATACATCGCGAGGCACAGACGGCGGGCCGAAGATCTGGTATTCGACTATGCAGAGGTTGTCCACCACAACGGACAAAGACCGATCATGCATGGAGAGGTAGATGATGGGCCTGAAAGGTCAACGAATAGACAGAAGACAGATGTATGCGTCGTTAGGCACAGACGGTGGGCCGAAACAATCTGGCCCTTTCCCCCGCGCGTCCACCTTGGAGGTCTGGTGGTGGACGATGAAGAGGTTGTCCACCACGTTGACCGCGAAGCGCCCCGTCGTGTTGAGCTTCAGCACGTGCTGCTTGCGGCACGGCCCGTCCCTGGGCGCCAGCGGGAGAACGAGGATGCGTAAGAGGAGAGTTTTCGGCGTTATCGGCGTTATGATTTAAGGGTGTGCCCGCGCGCGTCGTGGTGGCAAGTTGGAAACCCAGGTGGAGGCCCCTCGGCACGCTCACTTGGGCAGGAGGTAGAGTAGCACCTCGGCGCCGGGCTGTGCCGTCGTGCGCACCGTGTGTCGCAGCACGGCCACAAACAGCTGCCCGTATCTGCCGAGAGACGAGACAGCGAGGTCGCGCGGCCACCACGGGCGCTGTGTGAGGCGTGTCAATCGTGTGCGCTACCTAAGATTGAAAACTCATTTGTTGAGAATGACTTTTTTGTGTTTAGTTTGTTGCACTTCCCTGCACCTCCGATTAGCATGGTTGGCTACGTACACTGTGAGAAAAGCTCAACATACATACATATATGTAAGACGTCTGTGCGCAGGACCGAGGGTGTACAACACACGAGTGGCTTGCGTGTGGGCAAGGCGTGTGCCAGTGGTTGCACGGTGCGCGAGCGGCGACGCACATGGAGGCCATGGAGATGTCTCTCTCCTGCAGGCACAGCTTGGCAGGCTTGGGCACCAGCGGCACCTCCACCTCGAACTTGCTCAGCTTCGTCATGGAGCCCGGCTGCCTCGCCACCCACGGACCGGGGGAACGAACACAGAGACAACCCCCTGCAGCGTGAGGCCGGGCCGAGCGCAGCAAATGAGCAGCGGTTAAGGTCAGAAGTGCCACACGTAGACCGGCGATGTAACGTCGTTTGTGTCAGTGCCGGGCAACCTGTGGGCCGCGAGGCAGCATGCGGCCTATGGAGCCCCTCGTGGTGGTGGCCTGGTCTAAGTGTGTCTAGGGCAGGGATCGGCAACCAAAATAATAAGAGACATTTTTTTCGAATTCGGTAAAAATCTATATTTCAAGAGCCAAACTATGAGACGGTCCCTAATAAATGACGGCACGACACAGTCTTAATGAGCCGTATGCGGCTCCAGAGCCGCAGGCTCCCAACACCTGCCCACGGTGAACTGGACGTCCACGGTGAACTGGACTTCCATGGTCAGGGCGGGGCAAAACAAAATAACATGAAAAGCCATTTTCTCGAATTTCAAGGGCTGCAACTGCAGTCCTCAGGGGGCCACATGCGACTCCGGAACAGCAGGTTGCCAACCCCTGGTCTAGGGTGATGCGTGAAGGTCATGCTGAGTGCACAAGCACGGTGTGAAGTTTGCGGCCCACGAAGGTGAAAAGCAGGGCCGCTCATGTGGCCCACTAAGTCGTCTCGGTTACCCATCACCGACTGTCGATCTATGAAGGGCCATTGCCCAAAACGTTGGCGACGAATGTGTTTGAGTTTGTTTGTTATTGGTGCTCGTGCACCACTGCCAACGTAGCAGCATCACCAAATAATTTGTTTTATCATAGAAATTGGACCTTGGGATGGGATGATGTACGTTACTTGGATCCCAGGGTGTAAAATTCGCGGGTGATAACAATGTTGCTCTCCCCACATTCTGGCATGTCGCCCCGTGTCGCCCCGCATCACCCCCTTGTTTTCCTTGAGTTTCCACCATGTTTCCACAGTTTCTCGCTATGTCTCCATGTTTTCAATGCGTCTTCGGTGTCTCCCCTGTGTCCCTCACTCGTCTCCTTATGTCTCCTTCTTGTCACCACCGTGTCTCCCAAAGTCTTCTCCGTATCCCCGCATCTTGCGGTTGCCCCATATCTCCCCCGTGTCTCCCCTGTATCTGCCCCGTATCTGTCGTGTGTGTCTGCCCCGCGTCTCCCCACTGTCTCCCTGCAGCTCCCCCACGTCTCCCCCGCGTTTGCACCCGCGTCTCCACCTTGAAGTGGTAGGGTTGGATGACATTGCCCAGCACGGTGGTGGAGGCCAGCACCACGCTGCTGTCCGGGCAGTACACGAACCAGTTCACGTTGAGGCTCTGGCTCTTGAGCAGCTTGAGCGAGCGTTTCTCTGGGAGGACCTGAGTGTGAGTCGACCCATGGGGCAAGACAAGACGGTCAGAGATTTCACTCGGCAATCAGCTCGTCCATCCGTCCACATGTCCATCGGTCAGAGCAAGGATTCGTTAGCCCCATCAGCTTGTAAATTTGCCAACGCACCAGCTTACGATTCTGGCTACACATTCAGACATCGGCTCACCTGTTCGTAAATCCAGCCATTCATGAATCCACCCATTCATTAGTCCATCCATACTTCGACCAGCCCATCATTAACGCATTAGTTGCTTCATCCACTCGTCAATCCTTCCAAGAATCAATCTTGATTTGAAGCTTTCGTGACTGCAGGAATTCATACTCTTTGGTTCTTTTGGTAAAGTCACGTAGGTATAAAAAAGAATAGATCGCGACGTTTCGATCGCCACAAAAGCAATCGTCTTCAGGTGGGAGAGAGACGATTGCTCGTGTGGCGATCAAAACGTCGTGATCTATTATTTCTTCTACCTTCCAAGAATCCTTTCAATGATGCATTCGTCCACAAATTCATCACTCATCTATCCACCAATCAGTGTATTTACTTATATACAAAATCCACCCATTATTCTATCAGACCATCCACACCCGTCAGCCGCCGCTTACCATCGTCGCTAGCGCCGAGCTAGTTGTGGGTGCGGCCCCCGATGGCACTGGCTGGCTGGCTCGCTCACCTGGTAAAACTCGAGGCTGAAGTCGGTGACAAAGACGATCTCGTAGGCGCTGGTCCAGCAAAACCCTGTCACCTTGGCGTTCCTCGTCTGCGACAAACAGGGCGGACGCGGCCGTGAGTACCGGGTCGGTGGAACGTGGCAATGCGCGAGCCGAGCGGTAGCTCGGCAATTTCCGCCTTTGACAACAAAAATCGATGTCAACGTCGAACAGGTCAGCGGCCGCCGCTGCCGCGCCTCAATCGCGGGGGCGGCACGCATCTCCGTTGATATATCGATAAAATTAAACACCTTGTGCTCATATAAATCCATGCATCTCATGGAACAAAGTATGTATGAATCGCGGGCAGTCGGATAACGAAACCTGTCAAAGTAGACCAAAAATAAATTAAAACTACACTGCACAATTAAAACTACACTTGCACAAATAAGAATGAGCCCCTGCATTAAACCACAACCCCAGAATGAGAACGGTGACAATTCTTTGAATTACAAAGTTGACAGCGGGCGTAGGGTGGGGGGCCACGGTGCTGATGCCCAAAGCAGGCGTCTCTCCTGTACCACCCCCCCTCACCTTGCATTCCTGCGAATACTCGGAACTACTCAGGTCCGGGATGAAGTTAATGAACTCCTGTTGGGACAGAGACATTAAGAGAGCACACAAGCATACTTAGTGGATTATATGCAACGACACATAAGCACACAAACAAGCATGCATAAATACACACACACGTAGATGCACACACACCGATACAAAGATCCCTCATTTTAGCCTCAATAGATTGTTGGGGCATGTGCTATTAGTGTGTGGCACCTATGAAGGCTGGCATGACACACGAGTGGGTGGGTGGCCAGCACCACACGCGCCCGCCCATGGCTCCCAAGAGGCGATGTTTACCGTACCAGGTACTCATTTGAGGCTGAGTCGACTAAGGGGAGGCCCAGGACCGGTTTAAATATTTGCTGTTATTGGTCGTATCAGTCGTTCTCGCTGTATAGCAAACTACAAGTTGTCCCCGAGTTACGATGGTCCGACTTACAATATTTCGATCTTACGATGGCGATGTCGATACGACAAAATTGCCATCAACAACCTAACATCGTTCAAGTATGCAGGCGACGGACAGAATCTTGGTGAGTACAGTACAATATGATATGTTACGATACATTCAATGCATGTATGATACGTAGCTCTAGCGATTTCATTTTAGGGTTACCACGATACGATACATACGTTCAATGCATGTTAAAAGTTTTTACAGCAGATAGGATCGTTTCCTGAAAAAACTTTCTATGAAATTGCAGTTCATATAGGTAGGCTAAGAATTTACCTTGTTTTTTTACTTTACATTTTACTGTGCAATACAGTATTGTAATTAATAAATACATAGAGTATATAGCTTATACAGTACAGTACTGTAAATTGCTCTGCTTTGCGAAATTATCACCATTATTTAAGACTCCTGGGTAGGCTAGGCCATCTTCGACTTACGATATTTTTGACTTACGATGGGGTCTTCGTAACGCATCTCCATCGTAAGTAGAGGACTACCTGTATTCAGTTATCCTTCAATCAGTATTTCTATTTATTTGTCTGTCCATCTGTTGTCATCATTAGACCTCCTTTGCCAGTACCAAAATGTAATAATAGGGTTTTTCCCCTTTTTTCTGGCAACAAAACTGAAACCTTTTTACAAGGTTCATAATGCAGCGCGCTAACCACTGTGCCACCGCTCACCACTGTAACAACAGCCTCCATCCGCCACTAAGTGGCGGTGATGTCACCAAGACACTTGTGCCACTCACGTTACCCTCTGCAGCGCTGATGTTTACACAACGCAGCAGTTACTCACTACAGGCCGAGTCGACCTAAAGGAGGGCACGAGACCAATTAAGATATTCGCCACCGACGTTGGCCACGAGCGGTAATCGAACTCGGGATCCCGTGTTCGTAGCACAGCGCGCTAACCGCTACACTACCGCTCTCCACGTACGCATATACACATACATGCACACACGCGAAACTGTACACGCACTCGCGCATATGGACACACATTCAAAGATGCCCCCCCACCATTTCACGAAGCTCAGCAGCAGTAGCTCAGTGCTCTGACATGGCCATTATGAGCCCCGGAGGCAGGCGGCCTCCTCGAGGTTGACAGTCTTATGAAACAAGTATAGGTCCTCACCACAGATTTGGGCGTCCTCTGCACTGCCAGAATTTTGTTCCCAACAGAAAACTTGATGGACTTAATCTCCCCTTTGTCCTCAAGTCTGGAGATCACATGAATACACACACACGCAAAGGCAGAGAGCTCAATGAAGCATTATAGACCGTGTTTAGTGAGCATCTATTAGGGCCGGGAATGGCACACGAAGAGAAGAGAAGGCAAGGCTCGCACCACAGCCCAACTGCCTTTGTCACATGTCACACCAGGCAGACCTCATTATTTTAAGGCTGAGCCCAGGACAGGGTTCAAGCCACCACCAGGAATTTAACCCAGGTTTCTGAGCTCCGTAGCACAATACACGACCCAATGCACTGCTTGTTCTCAGATACACACACACACGGTCATAGTCCGTGGTCCAGATCGGAAACTGGTATGACCTAAAATAGAAAAACTTTATTCGAATCCATTAATGTATACTACCAGTTATATATTTGATAACCCTACTCATTTCAAATGGTTCTCACACAATCCGGCACCTCCGATTAGCATGGCTGGCTACGTACGGTGCGAAATAAGTTCAAAATATATAAATACATTGGTCACGTACACAAATTAGAACAGCTAAAGTTATGCCACCTCCAGTGGTACCGACAAGTGAGAAATCAAGCCTGGGCCCATGGTCAATCTGTACAGGGCAAGGTGCGTCAGACGCAAAAGATGACACGCAGTGGAGATACGATGCAGGCGAGGTCTGGTGTGGTTAGGACAGCGTTAACAATGGGTGTAGTCCAGTGTCAACAGAGGGGTAGTGGCGGTGCACAGAATCGTGGAGTGGCCGTGTGCGCAGCTATGGAGGCATGGAGAGGTGCCGTGCGAGGCAGATAACCTTTGCGGCGTGGTGTGATACGTGCCAGGGTGGTTGACATGGCAAGGCATAGTGTGGCACACACGAATTCAATATCGTATACCGCATTGCAGTACGCATAGTGCAGTAACAACGCAGTGCGTTCATACAACACGGACTTGCGCCATTGAGTGACGGAGCTGTGCAGTGTTCTGCAGTGCGGTTTTGACTTGATGGACGCAATGCTACGCGGTACGGTTTGACGCAGTGCGGTGCTGTGTGTGGTGGCGCACTGTGGCGCGGTATGGCTCATCACCGGAAGTTGATGGTAATTTTCTCATCGAGGCCTCGCACCACCACACCAATGGCTCCGCTGGCACGCACGGCGAACACCTGGCACGGCACACATCACCCACACATCACATTGCATACATCACCCGGCACCGCACACGTTACCCCGCACACATCACCCAGCACCGCACACGTCACCCCACACACATCACCCACACATCACCTCGCACTGCACACATCACCCGCATACATCACCCATGGCGCCACACCGCACACATAACCCGGCATCGCACACATCATCCACACCATACGCATCACCCTGCACACAATATTTTACATTTCTTTCATTACGTTTGTTAACCCAGAAGAGCCTCACCGAGTCCCATAATTTTTTTTCAGGAGGGTCCTGTCAAGTTTTCGCAGTAGGGGTTGTGGAAATAATTGCTACGTATGCTGGCGGTGGGGGCGATCGTTGCTATGTATATTGCAATGGATTAATCTGCGGTCTAATTTTTAAAATTTGGCAAAGTTAGACCACGACGCCGGCACACAATGGATCACTATTGCGAATGAGGCCATTTGGAAGCAGACGGCGCGTATACATCACTGTTAACGCTGGGTCAGTGAAGTTCTGTCCCGAGGGCCCATTGTCCAGAATGTCACCAATTACAGAAAGCACCCCGATTTACGTCTCCATACCTTTTACGTCGTTTCGCAAATACGTCGGCACTTTATTAACACCGCTACCTGATTTGCGTCGCCTCAAACCAAACTTTACGTCGCTGACAGCATCGCACGTCCTCTCTCGTTATCCGTCACCTCCCAGCCTTCACCACCTACCCTGCAAATCGTTTTGATTTGCGTCGTTTCGGTACTCGTCATCGCACCTTTCAGGAACGCACCCCTGACGTAAACCGGGGTATAACTGTATTTATGTTTAGTTTTAAAGGCCGCGGTCTTATTGTCGCTTTACTGAAACACCGTGTGAGAGGAGAGACGAGAAGCTTACCCAGCTGAGCCAACGTGGGCATGTGGTTGTAAGGGTTAGGACCAATGTTCTTCACTAATTTTCAGAGGGGGGGCCCACATTCGCCGAGAAGACATCATCAGTGTGAGGGGCCACCACACATATGAAACCATTGGGGGTTTGAGAGCACGATGATGATGATGGGGGTGGGGGAGTGTTTTCACATTTGTGTATGATCGGGGGCCGCACTAAAGGCCACCAGGGGACGCCAGTGGCCCGCGTGCCTCGCATTGAACAACGCTGGGTTAGGCCAACGTTGGTCCAATGTTAAACTGTTGGCCCAACATTTAACGTTAACTGGGTATGGACCTATATTCTTGGTTCTTTCAGGTAAAGTCACGTAGAAGGGAAACAATAAAATAATAAAAATATAAAACAATAAAATTCTCACGACGTTTCGACTGCAACACAAGCAATCATCATCAGGTGTGAAAACCACAGCAAGAAAATTTGAATAAAGTGGCGTTTTTTTTTAAAGTTAGCACCACGGAGAGCGATTTGACAGTTTGTTCAGACGGACGAGTCCATCTATGTTCGGAAAAGAGGAGGGGGGAGACGAAAAATAATGGATGCGGTCTGAAAGCCACCGTAAGCGTGAACAATCAATTACGACCCGAAATGGTTGATCAAATCCTTCCAATGATTGCTAAGCCAGAATCCATCTTCTCGGTTGAAATTGTCTCTGTGTTTTGTATATGTGGATAGTCTAATGAACGAATCTCTCACGGTAGCCAGATGGCTTGCAGAGAACCTCTGTCTTGGAGAAGTCAATGTTTATGTGAGCCTACAGAATTACAACAGTGTGGTTGACCTGTTTGTTGGCCTCGTCAAAGAAGACGTTGTTGATGGTGGAGATCTCCTCAAAGCGGACCGGGTTAGGCCCCAGCTCCAGGTAGAAGGCCTCCTCCTCTTCCTCCTCCTCCCTCTTCATCTCTTTGGCCTCCATTGTCTCCCCCTCCCACCTCTCGCAACTGCTGCTGCTGCTAGCCACGCAGATTTCACAGGGACACGTGGTGGTGGTGATCATGATGATGATAATGTTGATGTTTCATGCTGGTCCTGACGACGACACTCATGGTGAAACGATGATGATGATGCCGCCGTTAATGATGCCCATGCCGAACTTTTTCATGGTCGATGGTCGCGCGACGGCTGATGATGATGATGTTGTTGTTGACTTATACAGCGCTGCTGCGAATGATGGTGGTGGTAGTGGTGGTGGTCGCGTTGCCGCTGTTGTCGATAACTCCGCTGCCGAATGACGTCGGCAATGGTAACGATGCCGCTCTTACCGCTGTCGTCGCTGCTGATTTGCTGTTGTTGTTGCTGCTGTTGTTGTTGTCGCTCCTGATGTTGATGATGCTGAGCCACCACGCCGCCCCGGTAGCAGTCCCGGTCACGTGAGCCTGCGGCGCGTGACGTTCCCACGTGGGGGCGAGGGGATGACGTCATCAAAGACAAAGCTCCCCGCCCTCCGTGTAGCCTGCAACAGACAGTAGGGGGGCAAGTGCTGTGAGCGAGCACCGAATGAAGGCCGGCACGGCACACGGAAGGGGGGGGGGGGGTTGGCCAGCGCCACGCCCGTGCCGCACGCCTTTGTCTCCCCAGTGGCGATGTTTACTACACACCGCACACAGGTACTCATTTGAGGCTGAGTCGACCTAGGTGGGTGGTGGTGGGTTGCCCAGGAGCGGTTCAGGGTAATAATCGTCATCTCGGTGGTGTTGGTGGCCGTGAGCGGGGAATCGAAATCGGCGCCGCCGGGTTTCGTAACGCAGCGCTCACCGCTGCACGCGGGGAGGGGGGGTAGAGGCGGGATGACGTCTACACGATGCGTGTGACGTCATCTCTCGTGTGCTGCGCGGTGACGTCATCGCGTCGGGCCCTCAGGGGGGTGACGTCACCGCCACTCGGTTCAACGAACAGTGCCGCTGATAATTCATCACCCCAATAATTCAGTGTGTAAAAAAAATTGTTCCTGGGTAGTAAGTGTTATTTTCTAATTGCGTATGCCTCAAAAGTACAGAAAATGGCTATTATTACCCACAAACTTTGTTTTTTATGACCAGGACAGTGATATTTTTAAATGTACCTGTTTTCAATGAGAAAACGTGGTGTGCATTTGTGTCATTCCTTCACATAAAGTCCTGGTCACAAAAAAGCAAAGTTTGTGGGGAATAATAATAATAGCCATTTTCTGTACTTTTGGGCCATAAGCAATTTGGAAATAACACTTACTACACAGGAACAAAAATTGGAGGAAGCCCGTTCATTCAGGAAACATTCGTGTTTTTACGTATTGTAATCATCATCGGGTCAGATATCATCAGTGCATTTGTAACATTCCACTCGAAACGGTTACCGGTTCGATAACGAAACCGGTTATAACGGTTACCGGTTTGCATGTCTACGTCCGCATTAATGTCCACGTATGCATACAGTGTACGTGTACTGTGTAATGCCCTTTCTGGGGAAGTCAACAGCGGTTGTTCTATGGATGTACTCGCCTCCGCCATAGTAATGTGGAATGTTCACCACTGGCTTGGGAGCATCACAAAAAAGGACACCGCTTCCCACATATTTTTTCAGTATTTTGTTGTTTTATGTATAAATGCATATACTGTATGTGTGAGTACGGTCCTGGCCTTCCCCGAGGTCAACTCAGCCTCAAATGAGTACCTGGATGCGGCGTGTAAAAACATCGCCACTGGGGAGACAAAGGCGGCCGCGCGTGGTGCCGTGCCGGCCTTCATTAGCTTGCCGCTACTCGCCAACAGCACTTGCCCCAGCAGTCTCTGACGAGCTATAAGGGTGAGTGGGGGTAGATCTTTGTCTTTGGAGGGAGACATATGGTGAGAAGAGAGAGGGATGATGGTGGTTGGTGTGGGTGGGGAATTGGAGAGAGGGAGTTAAGGGAGAGAGGTCGCTCACCGCAGTAATAATCGGGGCGGCCGCTAGATTCCGAACCGCAAACTTCTGAATTCGAACCTGCCGCGAAACCACGTGGCCGCGGTGATGTCACCCGAGTTGAAAGCAATAATGCAGTCTTGCTCTTTGGTTCTATTCGGTAAAGTCACGTAGGTAAAAAATAAAACAACAAAAATCACGACGTTTCGACCACAACACAAGTGCCCTTCATCGCAACGTCGTGATTTTTGTTGTTTTATTTTTTTACCTACGTGACTTTACCAAATAGAACTAAAGAGTATGGATCCTTGCAGTCACGAAAGCTTTAAATCTGGAATGCGGTCTTGCTTCATGATGTTTTATTTTCCGCGTGAAATGTTTTTTTTCTTTTTTAAAGCGGCGATTGAACCCCAACTGCCCACGTCTGCGTACGCGGTGTAAAATTGTACAAAAATGTTTTGCCTTATGTTCATCAGTGATCCCGTTACACCCCACCCTGCCCCACCCACACCCTCCATGATCCATCATAAAGTACTCCCAAGACTTACAAAAAAAAGAGGGAGTAAGGGAGAGAGGGGAGGAAGGGAAGAGAGAGTTAGAGGCATCACGTCAGTGGCTGTAAATAGCACGCACGCACGCTCACACACAGCTACAGACGCCTGCACGCTGAGACACTCACATGCACTCGTGCACGCAAACATCCCACGTGTAAGCCTTTAACAGAATGTTGGGACGAGTGCTGTTAGCGATTGGGGGGGGGGGGGATGGGGGGCATAACCACGCCCGATGTCGACATAGCGAGACATGTATCAGAATATTTAATTACACTAGAGGAATCCGATGAGCTATAAAGCTCTTTTTCACAGATGTCCAGTCGAGGCGGATCAGAACGTTACAACCAATGGCGGGGCCAGGATTTTCAGGTAGAGGGGGCAACCCCTAGCAGCAATGAAAAATGATAGAGGAGTTGTTAGTAAGGAGTTGTTAGTAAGGAGTTGTTAGTAATAAGTAGGGAGTTGTTAGTAAGGAGTTGTTAGTAATAAGTAAGGAGTTGTTAGTAATAAGTAAGGAGTTGTTAGTAATACGTAAGGAGTTGTTAGTAAGTAAGGAGTTGTTAGTAATACGTAAGGACTTGTTAGTAAGTAAGGAGTTGTTAGTAATAAGTAAGGAGTTGTTAGTAAGGAGTTGTTAGTAATAAGTAAGGAGTTGTTAGTAAGTAAGGAGTTGTTAGTAAGTAAGGAGTTGTTAGTAAGGAGTTGTTAGTAAGTAAGGAGTTGTTAGTAAGTAAGGAGTTGTTAGTAATAAGTAAGGAGTTGTTAGTAAGTAAGGAGTTGTTAGTAAGTAAGGAGTTGTTAGTAAGGAGTTGTTAGTAAGTAAGGAGTTGTTAGTAAGTAAGGAGTTGTTAGTAATAAGTAAGGAGTTGTTAGTAAGTAAGGAGTTGTTAGTAATAAGTAAGGACTTGTTCCCTGCTTTTTGTTCGACGCGTGTGCGGCGATGGCGCGGCCATCGATCGAGGGTCGAATTGGAACCGCGTGGTGTGATCGGCATCGCGCTCGCTGAAGGTGTTGATGCCTTCAGGGAAGTCGTGGACTCTGTATACGCAACTGCGCACAATTCTGTGAGTCGCTTATAACTGCTTTGCCGTTACTTATTGCCAATTATGGACTCAGACTATTGTTCCTATCATCTCATAGAGTCCCTGGCCACGTAATAATATGCTACTGGCTCCGCAAGTGGTTACAACAGCAAACAACAGAACGACACGATAGGAGTGTGAATTCTCAAAAATGTTAACAAATCACTGAAATATCTATACAGTACAAATAGAACTAAACACATTTTTTTTTCAATCTTACCAGGTAAGGCCAACTGAGCCATTAGCTTCTTTTTGAGAAGCGACCTGACCGCAAATGATAGCTCAACGAAGTGGCTTTAACGTGTGGACATTTATAGCAGCAACATAATCTAGACACGTGTTCCTAGACGTGGAGGGAAACCCCGAGAGCAAACCCGCTGTCGGAGGAATAAAGTTGATGAACGTGGAAGCACCAGGCAGGGTTGTAGATCGAGATGGCAGGCCGAGAAAACGAGGTGATTCCAAGTGGTGAACGAGGAGTGTGACGTGCACGTTGGAAATGATGGCCCAGGGCAGATGTGAGCGGAGAGAGAATGCCAAGGGAGGCAGAGCCGATTAAGCACGGTTGGCTACGTACGATGCGACAGAAGTTCAACGTACACACACACACAACAAAGCATGAGGGAGACACAGGGAGGTGCAAGGCAATTGAGAAGTGTGGAGTGAATGTGGCAATCTGTGGCCCAGGGTAGGAATTAGTGATGGGGGAGAAGGACTAAGGAAGACAGATCCCCCGCCCTGGCCACCACCACATGCGCGGAACCGCAGGCCACAGAAGAACAAGATGACGAATGCGCTTCTTGGAGTACTTTTAATTCTTCATTTTGATCTGTGCGGGGCGTTTTAATTACAAGTCCGCACCTTGCTCTCCGCAGCTCGTTAATGACTGTCCGGACACGCTAAGGTGGTCGTTCGAGCTGCCGGTCACCCCTTCGTGAGAAGGGTTTCAGTAGCGCGCCCGTGGCTCCGTCCAGACTGCCATCAGCAGCCAGCCCGTGCACAACGTTTTTTTTTGGTTTGGGCCATGTTTTTGTTTGTTGTGGTACGGAGTTAGACTGATGGCCTTAATCTTAGTTGTCTTGTGGTTGTTGTTGTTATTTGACTTGCATCCCACTGGGATTTTTGTACACAGCGTTGGTGTACACGGTGCTTTTTCAGGAATATTTTGCTGTGTTTTTTCCTGGATTTTCTGTTTGCACAGTCACACAGTCACTGTAAGATGTTTTTCTTGTTCGTGTTTTTGTTTTTTTGTTTGTTGCGGTAGCACCCGATTCAAGAGCCGAATGGCTCACAGGGCTATACCAAATAAATGAAAATAAATAAATGAATAAACTGCACACAGTTGCGGTCCGTTCACCGCAAATGATGATGAACAGAGTTATATGACCCCCTTCCCGCTCCTCGCTAAGATACTAATATTTATATGTTGTTACTATTTATTATTGCATTTGTTTACTCTACCCATAAAATCCTCGCTGAGTTGCATTTCTCGTTTTTAGGAGGGTTCTGCCAGGTTTTCACAGAACGCGGGGCAATGGTTGCTACTCTGTGTATTCCAATTGAGTCGCTTCTGAAAAACAAGTTAATAGCTCAGTGGGCTTTACCTGTTAAGGTAAACAATAGTTTAGTTTAATTAGTATATATTTTCAGTGATTTGCTTACCTTTCATATATTTTGCACTCCTATCGTGTTTTTGAATGATTTGTTCTCATAACGTTTTGACCTGTCCCTACTGGACATGTGTGAAAAAAGTGCTTTACAGCTCATCATATTCCTGCAGTATTAAAAATCTTATTCTGTACAGCCTGCCCAGCGTCAATCCACTCTTGGATGAAGACGGCTCCACCATGATCCAGGTCGCCGTGTCGATCATGGTGGTCAGTTGACTATACTTCACCACACCTGGTCAGTGAGGGCAGTTAAAGTCACGGCAGATGAGGGGCTGGGGGGGTGGGG